CTCCCTTCCTTCAGCTGCTGGGAAACGTGGCCAGGGGTCCCTCAGAGGCACTCCAGCTGAGGAGCTGCACCACTGCCAGAGGGACTTGGCAGTGACGGGGCAAGGGCAGCTCCTCAAATGCCCAGCTGGAGGAACGAGCCGCCCAGGCCTCCGCACCAAGCCCCGGACAGGGCATTTGGGCTGCTGGGGAATGGCCCAGCAGGGAGGTTCTGCTCCTGCCAGCCCAGCTGTTGCTTCCAACCGCATAGGAGGGGAAGGTATTTTGTCAGGGCAGTCGCTCATGGAATGGGTTGCCTGGGGAGGTTGTTGTATCCCCATCCGTGGAATGTTTCAAAACATGACTGGATCCCTCCCTGAGCAGCCCGGTCCGATCCCATTGGTGACTGTGGCCTGAGCAGGAGGTCAGACTTAGAGACCTTGGACTGTCTCTTCTGACCCAGATTCCTCTACAGTCCTGCAGCAGTTCTGGCTTCTTACAGTCCATGAGACCTGTTGGTTCCACAGTCTGCAGAGAAGCTCCTTTGCCCAGCAGGCAGTCCTGGAATGGCCAGACATCCATGGCAGAGATTCCCAGAGCTGCCATGTGCCCCAGCTGTCCCTGAGCCCCAGCTTTGGCCTCGGCACTGAAACGCTGCCAGGACCTGTCCCTGCTGTGCAGGTCCGTGGGGCTGCAGGACACGGTGTCACACAGCACACACGGCCACTGGGTCCTGCCAGCTCCTGCAGCCTGGGCTTCCTGATTGCCGGGGATTTTAGGGGCCACCTGTCTCCAGGGCTGGGCAGGGAAACAGAGATTTCCTGTGCCTGGGAGCAACGCAGGGCCTTGCCAAGGCAAGCAAATCGCCTGGGCTTCAGGTGCCCGTGTGCAATTCCATGTCCAGGGTGTCTCCCCCAGCAGCAGGTTCCTGTCCCCAGTTCCCGATCTCCCTCAGCGGAGCGGGCGGGGCGGGGCCGCGGGGACCGGCGGGCTGGGATTGGGCGGCGGCGCTCGAGCGCTGATTGGGCAGCGCTGCCGGCCCGCGGTATAAAGGGCCGGCGGGGCGGGTGGGGCCGGTTGTGTGTGTGAGGGCTGAGGGCGCGGCCCCGCTGCTGCCCGGGCTGCGGAGGGGAGAGCGCCTTGGCCGCTGGGTTTGTGGGCCGGGGGAGCCGGGGGGCGTTTAGGGGCGCGTTGTGCTGGGCAGCGGGGGCCGGGTAAACCCCTTCCCTGCCGGGTGACCCTGGGGGAGCCGTGGCAGGACTGCGGGGCTGGTGCTCTCTGGGTGTCTCAAGTTTTGCTTTGGAATTCCAAACCCTTTCCCTGTGCAGGGTTATGAGGCAAAGACTGCTTTAGCTTGGTTTTTTTGGTCCTGCATTAATGCTTTTTGCTCGTTCTGTGTCAATTTGCAGCCTGGCTCGTGGTTTCCCCTGGTGCTGGGGAGTGGAGGCGAGTTGTGCTTCCTGCTGGGAGAGAGAAGGGCCTTGGGAAGCTGCTCCATGAGCCACAGCTGTGCCGAGCCCGGGAGTCTGTCCAGGTAAGAGCAGGGCTTATACTGCCCGTGAGGAGCTGGGTTCTGCTGCTGAAACATGCCCATGCCTTGAAATGCAAGGACAGGCAGAAGCTGGGAGGGTCCCTGAGCACGTTTGAAAAGCCCTTGACTGTGGGCGAAGTGTCCAGGAGAAATGATTCCTTTTTTTGCAGGGAGGCAGTTTGTGAGGACAGGGGGGTTGCTGTGCTCTCTAGCCAAACTACTGCCCTTGGGATGTGCAGGGTGAGGAAATGTTGGCCACGTGTGGGCTGGAGCAAAGGTGTGTGGGTGGCTGTGTGTGACAGCCGTGTGTGTGCTGGAAGGGGGTTCTGGTGCCATTGGAGCTGCCAGGGAGCCAAAAGGGGCCCAGTTGTCTGAACAAGGTTGGCCTCTGTTGACACCTGCACCAAAGGAGATGCAAATTTCCCCCCTCTTGGTTGCAGGCTTCCCAAAGCTCCCAGGAAAGGAAGTTTTAGATTCCAACTCCCCTTTCTGCTAAAGGTTTCCTTGCTCTCTCAGCAGGATGTGGAGTGCCACCATGTCCCCGAGGTCACCCTTTCTGCTGTTGGGAGAGCATGAGGTGGATGGAGAGGATCCCCAGGCATCTGCAGGCAAAAGGGACTGGCACAACTGCGATTTTCTCTAGCTCTCTTAAGATGGACTTTCAGGGTACCATGGGTAATGTGCCAGCTCTCCTGCTGGAGTTTTTGTCTTCTGCTATATTTGAACATCAAGAGTAAAACTACAGTCAGGTGTGTTCTGGAGTATGTTACACTCGTGCAAAGCTCCTTCCCTCTGTTTATTTTCTGTTCTGGAAAGCACAGTCTGGGGTTCCTGGGCACTTCCTCTTAAATGATTCCATGAAAATAATTTTGTACTGAAAGGAGCTGTCTGTTTGAGACCAGATGTCACTGATAAAAGCTTGATGTTTTTTCACTCAGTAAGCTTTAAAATATCTCATAGTGTGTAGCAATGCCTGGCTTCTAAAACTCACCAATTGAGTCTTAGAAGTTTCTTTGAAGAGCTGAGTTCAGGCAGCAGAATTGGCCCTGCAGGAGGGACTCTGTGCCTGCTCTCCCGTGGCTCCAAGGGATCTCTGGCCCTTCACGCCGGCACCGAGATTTTCTCGGGAAGGGCCTCAGATCCCTGGACCAGTCTGGGACACAGGCAAGATCCCCCTGCATTTATAAATGAGGCCTTGTTGTGGCTTCCTACCTGTACCCGTTGGTGGGTTCCAAAGAAGGACTCTTGAAATGCCTTTTGGGCTGTCCATTGAAGCCTTGGGACCAAATTGGGCCCCCCTGGAGGGACAGTGCTGTTGGTGCCCCCCGGGTTGGGGCACCCCGAGGACTCCAGCGCGCACCGAAAGGATTATTCGGGGAGATCCTCGGGGTGCCCGGCCCTGGGGAGTTCAAAGCAAGGTCCCTGCACTGGATTCAGGCATTGCTGAGAGTATCCCAGGTGTAGCTGTCCATGCTAGACATGGAGCTCTCTACTGGACTGTAATTGGGTTCTAAAAGTGGTGCTCCAAGTGCAAAGGAAGTGTGGGATTGGGATTAAGAAACGAGCAGTGATGGTCCAATTGGCTGTTTTCTCTTGAATGTAATGGTAAGAGCTGCAGGAGTGCAAGGTGTGTGTTCCAGTCCCCAGCATTTGGTTTGCACATGTCCTGGTCAGACCCAGGTCCAACTTCCTCAGTCCTTAACCCAATCGAGGGAGAATTAAGGACTGGCAGTGTTAAGGTGACTGGTGTGACAGGGGTTAAACTGGGAAAACATTGGGGAATTCCTCAGTTTCCCTATTTGCCAAACTCACCCAAACCAGGGCTAGGAAGAGATTGAGTGGAAAAGTTGAGGCAGAAATGAAATGGAAAACTGGGGATGTTGAAACTGTAATTGCTGGAACTAAATGTGTCAAAGCAGCAGCTCTTGTTGTGCAGGGAATAACTCCTGTCAGCAGCAAGGTCCCGACTGAAGTGGCAGCTGCAATTGTTCCTGTGGTGTGGGCCAGTGGAGTTGCAGGAGAGTGGAAGAGGGCAGAACCTGTAGGTATTACCCCTGATGTGGGATCTATATGGGTAAGGCAAAGCCAGTATCCTTTAAAATCAGAATTCCAGCTTGGATTGGTTGCAGTAACAGCTCAATTGGCTCATCCTGGTTTGCTTGTAGGACGTGAATGCAAGAACCTGCCAAGGAACCAATGGCCAAGATGATTGATGAGTGCAGGACCTGAGAGAACCACCTTGAATGACAACCTTAGGTTTAAAAGATGGCCGTTGCCTTTGAAGGAGAAAATCTGGAAAGCAGGAAGGAAGAAAAGAAGCCACCTGACTCCTCCCTGAGCCCCAGACAGCCCCTGAACTGCCTTCCTGGGAATGGTAGGACGGGGTGGACTCTGGATTGCTCCCTCTGGATGTGTGGTAAGACTGTTATGCCAACTTTTCCAACAGCCTGTAAGCATTTGCTGCCTTGGCTAGATGGTGCAAGGGCAGCCTTTAAGCAGCTGAAGCATTCCCTGAGGAGAGCTCTGGGTCTGCCAGATCTCTCAGAACTGTTGGAAGCATCTTTGGTGGGGAGGGCAAACAAAGGACAAGGTGTGCAGTGACCCCCCAACAAGGGACTTTGAGTTAATGGCATCCCTGCAAGTGAACTTTGTGGGCTGTTCCCCCTGTAGGGCAGGTGATAGTCCCAGCTAGAGTGATGGGAAAAATGGTTAAAAGAGAGCCCCAAAAGCTGGAAATCCTCCTGGAGGCTCTTGGCCAAGAGAGTTTCCTGAGTTGCCCCTGCAAGAAGGATAGTGACAGCTTTTGAGTGCTGGTAGATGCTTTTAATAGATAGCCTTGAGTGTGTCCTTGTTGCACCAGTAGGCCTTGTCCAAGTCCCCATATTCCAGGAGATATGCTTATTAAAGTTTAAAATGATCTCCATAATCCTTTGTTGGCTTGAGGCTCTCCCCTGAGGAACTCCAGGAACTCCTGGTGCCGCCTGGGCCGATGGATTGGACGCCCCAGCCCCTCCGTTCCTGCCCAGCCCCTGGGTCCGTGTCGAGTGGTGGCACTGCCAGCCCTGCAGGTGAAGTGGGAAGGGCCTTTCCAGGTCTTGTGGGTCACATCTATAGCAGCCAAGTTGCAGAAAAAGGACCTGGGGTCTATTATCCTGGGTTAGGAAAGCTCCTTTTGATTGGTGAGCAGAACCAAGTGGATCCTTCAGAGTTCCCATCCGTGTTTGTGTCTCAGCCTGTGTTATGATTCAGGGCTGTAGCTGTTGTTGTCACTGAGGAGTCAAACTCTGCTTTAAATAATGAGACACTGGCCTAATGGCCTAGTGTCAGGAAAAAAGTGGGAATGATACCTGAGTGTTGAGATGTAACAAGAGCTAATCCTTTTTGCAGTGGGATGTAGCCTGGAAACTGCACAGAGCTGAGCCAAGGGATTTAAAGAGACCAACCAAGGGAGGTGAAGAAAGAAGGAAGAAGGGAAGTGAGGCAGCAGCCAAGCAGCACCAAGTGCCTGTGTCAGCAGGTGAGTTCTCTTGAAATTCCTAAGGCAGGCACTGAGGACTTTGAGGGCTCCAGACAGAGCAGACCTGCGAAGGGCCTCGGTGAAGCCCCTTGGAAACCTTCTAAGGGTAGGTGTGTATGGTAGTGAGTGTTGGAAAATGCCCTGACCGTGGAACAGGAATGCAGGGAAGGAAAATGAAGCCTCCTGTAATGCTGACCCCTCCCATCAGCTGCAGTGGAGATAGCTGTGTGTGCCCTTTGGGAGCTGATTGCCAGGACACCGGTGGGCTGGGATCATGGCAGGGTGTTGTAAGCAAGGAATGCCTGGCTTCTAAAACTCACCAGCTGAATCTTAGAGGCTTTCTTGGAAGAGCTGAGTTCAGTCAGCAGAATTGGCCCTGCAGGAGGGACTCTGTGCCTGCTCTCCCGTGGCTCCAAGGGATCTCTGGTCCTTCACGCCGGCACCGAGATTTTCTCGGGAAGGGCCTCAGATCCCCGGACCAGTCTGGGACACAGGCAAGAGCCACTGCAGTATAAAAGGGGCCTTGTTGTGCTTCCTAAACGTACCCATTGGTGGTTTTCCAAAGAAGGGCTCTTGAAATGGCCTTTGGGCTGTCCAGTGAAAGCTTGTGACCCGAAATGGGCCCCCCTGGAGGGACAGTGCTGTTGGTGCCCTCCGGGTTGGGGCACCCCGAGGACTCCAGCGCGCACCGAAAGGATTATTCGGGGAGATCCTCGGGGTGCCCGGCCCTGGGGAGTTCAAAGCAAGGTCCCTGCAATGGATTCAGGCATTGCTGAGAGTTTCCCAGGGGTCCCTGTCCCTGCTAGGCAGGGAGCTCTCTAATGGGCTGGAATTGGGTTCTAAAAGTGGTGCTCCAAGTGCAAAGGAAGTGTGGGATTGGGATTAAGAAATGAGCAGTGATGGTCCAATTGGCTGTTTTCTCTTGAATGCAATGGTAAGAGCTGCAGGAGTGCAAGGTGTGTGTTCCAGTCCCCAGCATTTGTTTTGCACATGTCCTGGTCAGACCCAGGTCCAACTTCCTCAGTCTTTAACCCAATCGAGGGAGAATTAAGGGCTGGCAGTGTTAAGGTGACTGGTGTGACAGGGGTTAAATTGGGAAGAACAAACTGGGGAATTCCTCAGTTTCCCTATTTGCCAAACTCACCCAAACCAGGGCTAGGAAGAGATTGAGTGGAAAAGTTGAGGCAGAAATGAAATTAAAAACTGGGGATGTTGAAACTGTAATTGCTGGAACTAAATGTGTCAAAGCAGCAGCTCTTGTTGTGCAGGGAATAACTCCTGTCAGCAGCAAGGTCCCGACTGAAGTGGCAGCTGCAATTGTTCCTGTGGTGTGGGCCAGTGGAGTTCCAGGAGAGTGGAAGAGGGCAGAACCTGTAGGTATTACCCCTAATGTGGGATTTGTACTGTAAGGCAGAGCCAGTATCCTTTAAAATCAGAATTCCAGCTTGGACTGGTTGCAGTAACAGCTAAATTGGCTCATCCTGCTTTGCTTGTAGGACGTGAATGCAAGAACCTGCCAAGAAAAGCAATGGCCAAGATGATTGAGTGCAGGACCTGAGAGAACCACCTTGAATGACAATCTCCAGGAGTTTCCAGTATTGGATTTAAAAGATGGCCTTTGCTGCGTCTCCTTGAGCAAGGAAAGCCAAGAAACCTTTGCTTTTGAAGGAGAAAATCTGGAAAGGGGAAAGGAAGAGGAGAAGCCACCTGACTTCTCCCTGAGCCCCAGACAGCCCCTGAACTGCCTTCCTGGCAATGGTAGGACGGGGTGGACTCTGGATTGCTCCCTCTGGATGTGTGGTAAGACTGTTATGCCAGCTTTTCCAACAGCCTGTAAGCATTTGCTGCCTTGGCTAGATGGTGCAAGGGCAGCCTTTAAGCAGCTAAAGCATTCCCTGAGGAGAGCTCTGGGTCTGCCAGATCTCTCAGAACTGTTGGAAGCATCTTTGCTGGGGAGGGCAAACAAAGGACAAGGTGTGCAGTGACCACCCTGACAAGGGCCTTTGAGTTAATGGCATCCCTGCCAGTGAACTTTGTGGGCTGTTCCCCCTGTAGGGCAGGTGATAGTCCCAGCTACAGTGATGGGAAAAATGGTTAAAAGAGAGCCCCAAAAGCTGGAAATCCTCCTGGAGACTCTTGACCAACAGAGTTTCCTGAGTTGCCCCTGCAAGAAGGATAGTGACAGCTTTTGAGTGCTGGTAGATGCTTTTAATAGATAGCCTTGAGGGTGTCCTTGTTGCACCAGTAGGCCTTGTCCAAGTCCCCATATTCCAGGAGATATACCTATTGAAGTTTAAAATGATCTCCATAATCCTTTGTTGGCTTGAGGCTCTCCCCTGAGGAACTCCAGGAACTCCTGGTGCCACCTGGGCCGATGGATTGGACGCCCCAGCCCCTCCGTTCCTGCCCAGCCCCTGGGTCCGTGTCGAGTGGTGGCACTGCCAGCCCCTGCAGGTGAAGTGGGAAGGGCCTTTCCAGGTCTTGTGGGTCACATCTATAGCAGCTCAAGTTGCAGAAAAAGGACCTGGGGTCTATTATTCCTGAGTTCAGAAAGCTCCTTTTGGTTGGTGAGCAGAACAAAGTGGATCCTTCAGAGTTCCCATCCATGTTTGTGTCTCAGCCTGTGTTATGATTCAGGGCTGTAGCTGTTGTTGTCACTGAGGAGTCAAACTCTGCTTTAAATAATGAGACACTGGCCTAATGGCCTAGTGTCAGGAAAAAAGTGGGAATGATATCTGAGTGTTGAGATGTAACAAGAGGTAATCCTTTTTGCAGTGGGATGTAGCCTGGAAACTGCACAGAGCTGAGCCAAGGGATTTAAAGGGACTAACCAAGGGAGGTGAAGAAAGAAGGAAGAAGGGAAGTGAGGCAGCAGCCAAGCAGCACCAAGTGCCTGTGTAAACAGGTGAGTTGTCTTGAGGTTCCTAAGGCAGGCACTGAGGACTTTGAGGGCTCCAGACAGAGCAGACCTGGGAAGGCCCTCGGTGAAGCCCCTTGGAAACCTTGTAAGGGTAGTTGGGTATGGTAGTGAGTGTTGGAAAATGCCCTGAACGTGGAACAGGAATGTAGAGAACAAAAATGAATCCTCCTGTAATGCTGCCATATCAGCTGCAGTGGAGATAGCTGTGTGTGCCCTTTGGGAGCTTATTGCCAGGGCACCTGGTGGGCTGGAATGATTCAAGAGCATAGGAATAAAAGGTTGCCTGGCTTCTAAAACTCATCAGTTGAGTCTCAGAGGTTCTTGTAAGCAATTTTAGGTAACACCTGAACACTTGTGTGTACTTCTTAGTTCAGTTGGAAGGAGATTGTCCAGGGAAGAGCAATCGTGCTCAGTGCAAGAAGCTGCCCTTGATGAACTTCCTGTCTGAGCTGATGGCCTTGGCAGGAGAAGTGCTCTGCAAGGAGGCTCTTTGCTCCTAGGCAGGAAGAAAGGCCAGTGCCCTTCCTCCCCAAGGCCCAGCCCAGCAGGGCTGGCAGGAGCTGCTGGTGTGGCTGCTCTTTGGGTTCTCAGCTGTGGCTTTGGGGTGGTGACCTCGTGTTCCTCCCTGTGCTCCAGGGCAGCCAAAAGCCCCAGCCCAGCCCCTGGGCCCTTCTGGGAGCCTGAGCTATTGTAGTACTGGGGATGGGGGTTTGGGTTTTTGTTTCCCTAAAAGTAGAACCACTGGTGGGGGGGATCTCTTATCTCACAGCTGTTGTTGTTTTGATATCTTAATTAATTACAACTTGAGAAGAAAACCTTGTGTAACTTAGCAACTGACTTGCACTGGTTCCACTGAAAGTGCCAAGGAGTTGTAGTGTCCACTGGATTGTTTGTATTGAAGCAGTTTGGTGTTTACAGAGGGATAATAAACTTCTGTCAGCAGCAAGGTCCTGACTGAAGTGGCAGCTGCTGTTGTTCCTGTGGTGTGGGCCAGTGGAATTCCAAGAAAATGGACAAGGACAGAACCTGTAAGAATTACCCCTAAGCCAGAGTCTCTCCTGGTAAGGCCAACCAAGTATCCTTTAAAATTAGGAAGCCAAGCTGGATTGGTTCTAGTAAGAGCTAAATTTGCTGCTGATGGTTTGATAGCAGAATGTGAATGCAAGGACCTGTAAAGAAAGGAAATGGGCAAGATGATTGATTGCTGGGAGCAGGGGCTGGCAGACAGTGGCACTGGCTGTTTGGTTGTGGTTGGGAATGAGCAGCTTGACCTGCCCAGGGTTGTCTGTGCTGGGGGTGGGTTTGGGTCCTGTGTGGCCACAGGTCTGTGCAGCAGCTGGAGCCTGGGCAGGTTTGGGGGCTGTGGTGTGCCAGGCTGTGGAGTGTGTTGTCCCTGTTTGCTTTGAGTGTCCCAGTGTCCCTGCTTGACTGTTTGTTGCCCTGCAGGCAGAAGAGCCCAGGCCTGAGATGGCTGAGTGTTGGTGTGACCCAGAGTGGGTGTCCCTGCCCTGGGGACAGTCCCCAGAGCTGCCTTTGGCATCCCCTGCTGAAGGGTGGGAGCTGCCCAGAGCCAGCAGCATCCAGCTGGAGGATCCAGGAGGATGCAGCTGTGTTTTCCTGGGAGGTAAGAGGTGGGGGTGCAGGAGCTGGCAGGAGTGTTTTGCAGGCAGAGGGAGGGCAGGAGCAGGAGACTTGCAGGTGCAGCAGCTGTGTCAGTGCTGGAGGGAGTCGGGGCTGGGAAAGGGCCCTGAGTGTCAGGGCAGGGGAGAGCCCCGGGTGGCCCTGGGAGCCCTGGGGCTGTGAACAAGTGCAGTGGGCAAAGGAATGGGCACTGGAGAGCTGGGCAAACAGCTGGAGGAGTTGCAAGGAGAACCAGGAGTCTGGGATCCAGGAGCAGCAGCAGCTCCCTGTGTGTGTGTGTAGAACCAGGTGTACTGCAGCACTGAGTGAGGTGGGAAATGAACCTCAGGAGGCTGGGAACAAGTCCCACAAACTGGTTAAAGTGGGATGGACTCTTCCCAAGTGTCTGAAAAGCTTTTCTTCAGTGTTGCTTTCTCAATTGAAAACTGGAGTGATTGTTGAGGTGTTGGCAGTTGTTCTCCTGTGGTTTTGGTGAGGTGTTGACTCAGTATCTTTCTTGGAGCTGCTGTTGGCTGAAGAGGTGCCCCCAATTGACCTGTAAGGTCCTGGTTTTCTTGCCTGCTTCTCCCAGCTTGTCCAGGAGATGGAATTCCAGTGCTACAGTCTAGGTGAGTCGTGGTGCTTCCAAAAGGAGCCTTTGTGCCTTCAGGACAAGTTTTGGTGCCACTGGAGCTGCTGGGAGAAGCATAAGGTTGGCAGGGAGAAGCCTGGAATGATGTTGCTGTGGCACAGAAGAAATGAGCAGTGATGGTACAACTGACTATTTTCTCTTGAATATAATGGTAAGAGCTGCAGGAGTGCAAGGTGTGTGTTCCAGTCCCCAGCATTTGGTTTGCACATGTCCTGCTCAGACCCAGGTCCAACTTCCTCAGTCCTTAAGACAAGCGAAGGAGAATTAAGGGCTGGCAGTGTTAAGGTGACTGGTGTGACAGGGGTTAAACTGGGAAAACATTGGGGAATTCCTCAGTTTCCCAATTTGCCAAACTCAGCCAAACCTGGGCTAGCAAGAGATTGAGTGGAAAAGTTGAGGCAGAAATGAAATGGAAAACTGGGGATGTTGAAACTGTAATTGCTGGAACTAAATGTGTCAAAGCAGCAGCTCTTGTTGTGCAGGGAATAACTCCTGTCAGCAGCAAGGTCCCGACTGAAGTGGCAGCTGCAGCTGTTCCTGTGGTGTGGGCCAGTGGAACTGCAGGAGAGTGGAAGAGGGCAGAACCTGTAGGTATTACCCCTGGTGTGGGATCTCTCCTGGTAAGGCCAAGCCAGTATCCTTTAAAATCAGGATGCCAGCTTGGATTGGTTGCAGTAACAGCTGAATTTGCTCCTCCTGGTTTGCTTGTAGGACGTGAATGCAAGAACCTGCCAAGGAACCAATGGCCAAGATGATTGATGAGTGCAGGACCTGAGAGAACCACCTTGAATGACAACCTTAGGTTTAAAAGATGGCCGTTGCCTTTGAAGGAGAAAATCTGGAAAGCAGGAAGGAAGAAAAGAAGCCACCTGACTCCTCCCTGAGCCCCAGACAGCCCCTGAACTGCCTTCCTGGGAATGGTAGGACGGGGTGGACTCTGGATTGCTCCCTCTGGATGTGTGCTAAGACTGTTATACCAGCTTTTAAGAACAGCCTGTAAGCATTTGCTGCCTTGGCTAGATGGTGCAATGGCAGCCTTTAAGCAGCTAAAGCATTCCCTGAGGAGAGCTCTGGGTCTGCCAGATCTCTCAGAACTGTTGGAAGCATCTTTGCTGGGGAGGGCAAACAAAGGACAAGGTGTGCAGTGACCCCCCAACAAGGGACTTTCAATTAATGGCATCCCTGATGGTGAACTTTGTGGGCTGTTCCCCCTGTAGGGCAGGTGATAGTCCCAGCTAGAGTGATGGGAAAAATGGTTAAAAGAGAGCCCCAAAAGCTGGAAATCCTTCTGGAGGCTCTTGGCAAAGAGAGTTTCCTGAGTTGCCCCTGCAAGAAGGATAGTGACAGCTTTGGAGTGCTGGTAGATGCTTTTAATAGATAGCCTTGAGGGTGTCCTTGTTGCACCAGTAGGCCTTGTCAAAGTCCCCATATTCCAGGAGATATACCTATTAAAGTTTAAAATGATCTCCATAATCCTTTGTTGGCTTGAGGCTCTCCCCTGAGGAACTGCAGGAACTCCTGGTGCCGCCTGGGCCGATGGATTGGACGCCCCAGCCCCTCCGTTCCTGCCCAGCCCCTGGGTCCGTGTCGAGTGGTGGCACTGCCAGCCCTGCAGGTGAAGTGGGAAGGGCCTTTCCAGGTCTTGTGGGTCACATCTATAGCAGCCAAAGTTGCAGAAAAAGGACCTGGGGTCTATTATTCTTGAGTTCAGAAAGCTCCTTTTGGTTGGTGAGCAGAACAAAGTGGATCCTTCAGAGTTCCCATCCGTGTTTGTGTCTCAGCCTGTGTTATGATTCAGGGCTGTAGCTGTTGTTGTCACTGAGGAGTCAAACTCTGCTTTAAATAATGAGACACTGGCCTAATGGCCAAGTGTCAGGAAAAAAGTGGGAATGATATCTGAGTGTTGAGATGTAACAAGAGCTAATCCTTTTTGCAGTGGGATGTAGCCTGGAAACTGCACAGAGCTGAGCCCAGGGATTTAAAGGGACTAACCAAGGGAGGTGAAGAAAGAAGGAAGAAGGGAAGTGAGGCAGCAGCCAAGCAGCACCAAGTTCCTGTGTAAGCAGGTGAGTTGTCTTGAGGTTCCTAAGGCAGGCACTGAGGACTTTGAGGGCTCCAGACAGAGCAGACCTGCGAAGGCCCTCGGTGAAGCCCCTTGGAAATCTTCTAAGGGTAGGTGTGTATGGCAATGAGTGTTGGAAAATGTCCTGAGTGGGGATTAGGAATGCAGGGAAGGAAAATGAACCCTCCTGTAATGCTGCCATATCAGCTGCAGTGGAGATAGCTCTGTGTGCCCTTTGGGAGCTGATTGCCAGGACACCTGGTGGGCTGGAATGATTCAAGAGCATAGGAATAAAAGATTGCCTGGCTTCTAAACCTCACCAATTGAGTCTTAGAAGTTTCTTTGAGGAGCTGTTTTCAGTCAGCAGAATTGGCCCTGCAGGAGGGACTCTGTGCCTGCTCTCCCGTGGCTCCAAGGGATCTCTGGGCCTTCACGCCGGCACCGAAATTTTCTCGGGAAGGGCCTCAGATCCCCGGACCAGTCTGGGACACAGGCAAGATCCCCCTGCATTTATAAATGAGGCCTTCTTGTGGCTTCCTACCCGTACACGTTGGTTGGTTCCAAAGAAGGGCTCTGTAAATGCCTTTTGGGCTGTCCATTGAAGCCTTGGGACCAAATTGGGCCCCCCTGGAGGGACAGTGCTGTTGGTGCCCCCCGGGTTGGGGCACCCCGAGGACTCCAGCGCGCACCGAAAGGATTATTCGGGGAGATCCTCGGGGTGCCCGGCCCTGGGGAGTTCAAAGCAAGGTCCTTGCACTGGATTCAGGCATTGCTGAGAGTATCCCAGGTGTAGCTGTCCATGCTAGACATGGAGCTCTCTACTGGACTGTAATTGGGTTCTAAAAGTGGTGCTCCAAGTGCAAAGGAAGTGTGGGATTGGGGTTAAGAAATGAGCAGTGATGCTACAATTGGCTGTTTTCTCTTGAATGTAATGGTAAGAGCTGCAGGAGTGCAAGGTGTGTGTTCCAGTCCCCAGCATTTGGTTTGCACATGTCCTGGTCAGTCACAGGTTCAACTTTCTCAGTCCTTAACACAAGAGAAGGAGAATTAAGGACTGACAGTGTTAAGGTGACTGGTGTGACAGGGGTTAAACTGGGAAAACATTGGGGAATTCCTCAGTTTCCCAATTTGCCAAACTCAGCCAAACCTGTGCTAGCAAGAGATTGAGTGGAAAAGTTGAGGCAGAAATGAAATTGAAAACTGGGGATGTTGAAACTGTAATTGCTGGAACTAAATGTGTCAAAGCAGCAGCTCTTGTTGTGCAGGGAATAACTCCTGTCAGCAGCAAGGTCCCGACTGAAGTGGCAGCTGCAATTGTTCCTGTGGTGTGGGCCAATGGAGTTGCAGGAGAGTGGAAGAGGGCAGAACCTGTAGGTATTACCCCTGATGTGGGATCTATATGGGTAAGGCAAAGCCAGTATCCTTTAAAATCAGAATGGCAGCTTGGATTGGTTGCAGTAACAGCTCAATTGGCTCATCCTGGTTTGCTTGTAGGATGTGAATGCAAGAACCTGCCAAGGAACCAATGGCCAAGATGATTGATGAGTGCAGGACCTGAGAGAACCACCTTGAATGACAACCTTAGGTTTAAAAGATGGCCGTTGCCTTTGAAGGAGAAAATCTGGAAAGCAGGAAGGAAGAAGAGAAGCCACCTGACTCCTCCCTGAGCCCCAGACAGCCCCTGAACTGCCTTCCTGGGAATGGTAGGACGGGGTGGACTCTGGATTGCTCCCTCTGGATGTGTGCTAAGACTGTTATGCCAACTTTTCCAACAGCCTGTAAGCATTTGCTGCCTTGGCTAGATGGTGCAAGGGCAGCCTTTAAGCAGCTGAAGCATTCCCTGAGGAGAGCTCTGGGGCTGCCAGATCTCTCAGAACTGTTGGAAGCATCTTTGCTGGGGAGGGCAAACAAAGGACAAGGTGTGCAGTGACCCCCCAACAAGGGACTTTCAATTAATGGCATCCCTGCAAGTGAACTTTGTGGGCTGTTCCCCCTGTAGGGCAGGTGATAGTTCCAGCTAGAGTGATGGGAAAAATGGTTAAAAGAGAGCCCCAAAAGCTGGAAATCCTCCTGGAGGCTCTTGGCCAACAGAGTTTCCTGAGTTGAGGGCTCCAGACAGAGCAGACCTGCGAAGGCCCTCGGTGAAGCCCCTTGGAAACCTTCTAAGGGTAGGTGTGTATGGTAGTGAGTGTTGGAAAATGTCCTGAGTAGGGATTAGGAATGCAGGGAAGGAAA